GTAACTGTTAAGATTTCAATGTTCTGTCATTGTTTTTATGTAAGGGTTCATACAACCTTAAATTACGAGTGGTGACTATTGTGCATCGGTAAAATTCGCATAAGACACGTGACTGCGCTGTTTAAAATGTCACAAGTCGAATAGCGAAGACACTTTTCATACCTGAATAATTAAAGCCTCCAGGTTTGCATTGAGCGCCGCGCAAATGTCGCTTGCAATTTAAATGTAATACTGTGACTAATCTCGGGAAGCTGCCAAATACTTATTCATAGTGATTCACAGTTTGATCTGTGATCTCGACGTTGATCTCTCTATTTCTAATTAATTAACTTTAAGCTCGCCGCAAATGAGGTCGCAAACCTAATAAACAAACTCGGTTATCAGATACCAATCGAAGTCGAATGAACGTTCACTTTCGAGTCTTTTTCACCCGATTGAAAATTAGTCAATTAGGCGCGCGGGTATGACCGAGTCACGCGGAATTGCTCGACAGGCGTGTACACCGTAGCTCTTAATTAATGCGATAAAACAGATATCGGAACGAGATATTGTTACCGCGATAACGTATGAAAATACGCTGGCGATTACGATAATTCACCGTTCCGTTCGCTAATCATGCTAATTAGAATATTTATTTATGCGTCGAGCGGCTTTCCTGGAACTCCCACTCGGCAGCAGTGATCAACTGCATCGCGAAATCGTGATACGTATTCCCTCTCGTTGTAAACGATTTTTCTATTTCTTTATCTGAATTCGTTAAGTAACGCCAACTCCCGATTTCTAAACGCTTTCTCCGTTTATTTCGAGTATCGATAGCGGAGAAAAATTCAGTTAATTACAGCCGAATGTATGAGTCACTCGCAAGAAACGAGGTATAATTTTTTATCAGTTCGCATTCATGCTAGTTTCCCTTGAATAAAAATACTGTTTTATTCGCTGTCTGAGTATCTGTCACTGGCATTCTTAATTTTCCAATGAATTCGCAATTGTATGGACAGTTCCATGTCGTAACTAGTTACAATTTTTATAATACATTGCACATAAGGATAAAAGTTCAATAATTAAGATTGTTAGACTGTTGCCTTTCATAAAGCAGTGAATTGGAATATAGAATTCAACTGGAAGTTTTAACACATTGCATGCATTCGGTTTTTCTCTAAATGCATCAAATCCGCAGTCTAAAACTTCAGAAATCCATGGAGGAACGATCGCTTCCATCAGAATATCGACTAAACCTGTACCGAATCGTTAATCCCGAGTAACAGTAGAGAGAAAAAAATATTCGCGCTAATTTCTCGACCACAAGTGGAGCAGCTGCGAATAACATCGTTTCTACGGTATCCGCCAAATCGTCCGCTTAACCGCAGCCACCTACCAGTTTTCCGCGACCGCAAGAGGAGATACCGCAAATAGAGCGACGTCCTTTGCAACATTGAACATTTTTCGAAACGGGAGAAGATTGTTTTCCATGTAAGCACGGCAACCGGAAGCGTTCTACGTGAAACTTCAATTCGAATTCGGGAGGAACGCGAACTTCAAGTTTGCGGGTCAAGTCAATTTCCCGACCACAGAAAAGATGACTTCGTGGATTTTGCTTTGAAGTATCCATCGAATTAGCCGATAACGACGAATACCGTTCCGCAATTACGATAATGATGCAGTGGATACGGTTGAAGAAAAAATACGTTTTCCAAACGGAATGGGAAATCCACTCACAACTTTGAATTCCTCAAGACGCTGCGTGTACAAGAAAAGATCTTAAACGAATTTAAACTCTGCCGGAGGATACAATCCGAAATGCAAATCCAAAATGATCGTAGGATGATATGGAGAATAATCGTTTGAAAAGTTTATTCGATTTTCTGGAAGATCGTCAAAATGTCAGTTTGGGTCGTAAAATCGCGACGGGGAGTTCTTCGGCGGTGGTGAATATTCGCGAAATTGCTGAAATTTTTACGGTCGTAAATGGGATTGTAAATTGTATAAAAGTCCTGGTTTCTCGGTCCGATGGTTACAGTTCATAAAATTCAACGTGGCCACTGTAAGAACTAGGAAATTGTGGAAACGATAGACAAATTTCATGAAAATCTTTCGCAACGAGCATCAATAAAATCTGTGGTGTCCGAGGGAAATGTCGAAGCGTTAGAAACGCATCGTTGAAACCGATCTGCTAATCACACTGACGCAACAATGCGCTCCATAAATATTTCTAAACCCAAGTACGGAGCGTATTATCACGTCGTCGTGGATAACAGCGTTGCGAGGAGCGATAAAGTACCGCGCGGAATTTATCGCACGCCGCGGGATGTGCGTAATGCATGCATGTAACGCAATATTCGCGGCGCGAACGTGCAATTACGTGGACGTTACTCGCAGCAAGCGCCGCGTTCTCTCGAAAACTTCTGACCTCCGCGATGGAACGCCGCTGTACATACATCCTTTGTCCTATGCAGCCGCGAACGATTTCACGGTAGAAAATGGTCCGCGCACTCGTTTTGCATCTCGCTACGATTTTAGAAAGCGTGTATTGTTGCAGAGGATGAAGATGAAACTGCTCGATAGTTAAAATGAGTTATGGCGATCTCGATAATGCATGCAGTTGTGGAATGATAGGTTTCAAAATAGTGCGGACTTTAAGGGAACGATTTCGTTACTCTTTTACCCTCGTGCATTGATTTTCAATAACTACAATTACGAATTTTTTACAATTCCATATTCGAAAGAGAAATTCTATGATTATTTAACTAAATATCTAAAAACTGGATTTTAATCTAATTAATTCGGGAATGTGAATAATTAATACATTTTCTAATTGAATGGATGATTCCAGTTCATAAAATGAAATGACGAGTTTAGCATCGATACGAATAATCTTGTTATTACTTGTTCAAGTTCGTAAAGACTGTCAGACTATTAGATAGTGAAAAAGAAGATGCAGGCCGACTTTGTAACGCGTTTTGTAACGTTCATTCCCATACCGTGATCTCGGCTCATCGGAGAAGAGTTTCACGCCGTTTCGTCCTTGGAACGCGAACGGTAACATAGTTAATTGGAAATCGAAGTTTACGAGCGGAGATAAAAACCGTGATAGGAGGATGGAAGTCTCGTTTCTTGCGCGAATCACCGTACAATGAAGGATAGATGCGTTAGGAGCAACCGCAGGGAGCTAGTGAGATAGAAAATGGGAATATTGTGACCAATTTAATGCTACAACTACTATTAATCGATGCGAATTCATTTGATAAATGAGTATATTAAAAGAACATACTATTGATGATATTTATTGAAATGCAGGAGGCACCGAAATTATGTATAATTTAATCATTACAACAATTCTTCCCTCAAATATCAAAAGTGGGCATATCTACAATATTTGTATCATTAATTATTATCCCAGTCGTAGTGCTAAAATGATATCAGTACGTATTAGTCTGAAGTCCTTTTTTAAGAGTCAAACCATTTTATCAAGGGAGAATAATAAATTGATTGTATATGCAATTGAACGTTGAAATGGTGTTAGTCCAGCTATAGCCAGGGAATTTATGAATAGATAGACAAAGATAGTGAGCGACCGCGACTTTCAACGACGGCGGGAACTGCGCCGATTAACCGAACGTTAATTGCCTCGCATGGCCTGCCGTTTAACGATTAGCCAGGGAAACCTAGGCGTGGGAAATAATCGTCGATAGGTCAAAGGCAGTTTCCAGCTGAAAATATCTGTACTAAATGAATTGCCGGTCTTACAATCACAGTAATGTTATCAATTCCATTTCTCTGTTAAAACAATTTTCAACGAAGTAATACTACCTCTGTAAAACATTGTTACGTACAGTACTTTGATGCTGATTATGAGCCCGACGTTTGTATAAGGAATATTTCTGTTGTAAGAGCCGTGCAAAAAGAATCGACTTTGAATTCCCATGGGACTCGAGGGAAGTGCGTGTGAGACGATCAGGCTCGAACAGTGTTCCAATGTTGAATTCTTCGCAAAATCGTGCGTCGAACGCCTCGCTTTCACTTTCTTACGAATTAACAGACGGAGGGTCACGCGATCGCCTGCGAACCGGAGGGTTCGTCTTGAAATCATCGACGATCATGTCACCTAAGACATCTTCATCAACGTTGTCCCTTGAACACTTCCAACAAGCATTTGTATAGATTATGGATATGCAAATGGATTATTAGAATTTTCTTATTGTTAACAAGTGATAAAGACATGTAATACCATTTAATAGTAATGAAAGAGTTACTGATTAAATGTAGTGGAAGGGGTTACAGTTAAATGATTGTCAATGATTTCAGAGTAATTCGAATTAACGAGCGCGGCCCTCGCGTTGAGTATGTATCTAAAAATCACAGCTCGTGCTACTAATTTACTTCTAAACCGTTATGTATATATATAATATATCTCTCTCTCGATACTCTGATATTTACCGATCCCTACGTTACATCCAGTAGTTTACTACGTGTCTGTCTGTCTGTCTGTCTGTGTATACATTATATATAAAAACGAAAGAAGAATGATAGAAAAATGTGGAAGAATAGAAAGCATCTTCCAATATGTTAATATCTCGTACCGGTATTAAATATCGATTGGTCATTCTGCGTCCGTCGTCGACGTGGTTATTTCGTTTTTTAATGAGTCGTTTTAGGAACAATTTTATTGAAAGATGTTCAACCACCGTCGATCGACCATAACTCGTTTGAAATCAGTTGATCATTTAACTTAACAATTTCTTCCTATTATTTTATCTCATTGTCTACGATTTCCATTGATTTCGACCAACTGATCTCGAACGAGGAGTAAAAAAATAAACGGTATTCTGAGTCTGCCTAACCTACTGTTATCGTGAACTTATCAATGGAATTGTTCTTCACGAATTTTCTTTTAACCGAACCAAACTTGAACTGGTGATAGGAACGACAGTCGTCAAAATTGCTTTTCCTTTTCGTGGACAAATTCACGATACTTGGAACGTCTCGTAATTCAACGTACGGCTTGGTTGTGTTAGAAATTGAAAGATCTGATCGGTTAAGAACATTTCTTTGTTGGTTTTAAGGGAGAAATTTTTTTATATTAAGCACATGTCCTTAGACGAAACTTCGAAATTCAGGTGTACCTCTCTCATGTCCAATACACGTAATTCACCTACATTTCTTTAAATCACCTCAAGATCACATATAAGATCACAGATCATTCCCTGGCTCCCCATCTTAACTGATCAGATACTTTCAGTCTCAGTTATACAAAGTTCATGGATATTGGCTACCATAGTTCGTTTTAATTGAAAAATCTGTGCAGCTAATATCCGTAAACGCTTTTCAGTTTACATTTATGCTGTCACGTGTGGGATGGAGACACTAGAAAAGAGAGTGTTCCGCGTTAAATCCATTTGTTCTATCAGCTAGCTATTTCTCGCGTATGACGAGTCGCGTGCGACTCGCGCACCGTGTAACTCGAATAAATTATCGACTGTAGAACGAGACATCGCGAGAATCCAAGAAATGAAAAATTAGTCCATGGATAGTATCTCGCGAACCTCGAATCGGTCATGGTCCGCTCTAATTCCCGGCCTCGATCGGCCACGGATCACCTTCTAAATGGACGATCCTAATTATTGGACGGAGTATACGAACAGAGCCTCGGTTAAAAAAACCAAGTAAAAAAGAGACAAGAAACGGTATCATCCACGATATGCACTGTGTCATCGAACGATGAAGAGACGAGACAATGAAACACGCCAAAAACGCCTGGATCCATCCAACGCGACTAACTGGGCGGATTGCAGGCGCTTCCCGCGGGATCGACCGAAACCGGATGCGTTTGACTCCTGTTCGTCACACTACTAGTAGTCGTGTTCGCAGTTTCGGCCGACGGGCTCGGATTCCCACTGTTCCCGTTGTTACTCCCGCTGTTCCCCGTCTGCTGCTGAACGCTAGGCTTCTGCGTGACGTGGGTCTGATAGTGCTTCGCTAAATGAGCCTTTTGTCGAAAACTTTTACCGCAGAGGGAACAGGCGAACGGCTTCTCGCCGGTATGCGTTCTGATGTGAACGTTCACGCTGTACTTGTCCTTGAAACCCTTGCTGCAAATGCTGCAATAATGCAGCGAGCGCTCCTTGCGTTGCACGCTGCCCGGAGATCCACCGGACGCTCCCTGTGGTTGATTACCGGAATTCCCACCGGTCTCGGAACTGCTGTTGCCGTTGCTCGACGAATTCGAGTTGTTACTGTTCCTGTTCGTGCGCCGGCAATACTTTTTCGGCGCTTTTGTAGTGACAACTCTCGAAGGAGCGATCTGAAGTTGATTCGTGGGCTGTTGCTGCTCCACCTCGTTTCGCGGAGCAGTTTGTTGTTGGAAAACTTCTTGTTGAGCTGCAGTGACCACCGTCACCGTACTCACTTGACCCAGATCCGCTGGCAGAGTTATGGTACCGAGGCTACCGCTAGTTGGGTCTAAGGTATACATGACCGTCGTCGTCGCTGACACGTTGCAAACCGGCTCCAGACTACAGTAGGACTCGACCACTTCGTTAGCTATGCTCTTCAACTTCTCGTAATCCCCTGGACGATAAGTTTGATCTAATTGAGATAACAACAGATCCTCGTCCGTGCAGGTGTGCATCGATTCGTCTTGTTGTGGTTGCGGCTGCGGTGGTTGTTGTTGTTGCGTCTGCTGTTGCTGTTGCTGCTGCTGATCGGGGACTATCAGACCCGCGTTATTCGTGACGGGCATTGAAATAGTAGAGCCTTGGTTAGACGGTGACGAGGACGAGACCACTTGAGCCGGGCCGGTGTACAGTTTCCCTTGAAGAGCGCTTCTCAAAAGACTTTCAGCAGAATCGCCAGCACCGACCGCGACCGCGGCTGCCGCCGCGGCTGCAGCTTCCTGGAGATTCTGATCGGAGAGTTTCCAATCGTTGTTGTTGTCACCTCCGGTGCAATTGCCACTGGAAGATCCCCTGCAGAGTTCCTTGCTCTCCACGAAACCGCTGTCGTCGGTACCGTATTGCGAGGATGCAACGGAGAAACGGTCTGGGTGAAACCTATCGTTGACCGTCCTCGACACCTCCGTTACATTACTGGATTGGTCGTGATCTTGTTCCGCGGAGGTCGGCTCCATGCTGAGTATAGCGTCCAAGTCTAGATTCGGTCGCAGGGACCAGGAATCGCTGGACGTCGGCGCTGGACTCTTGCAGCAGTCCAGACCGTCCATCGAATTGGCTTCGTTGTTCAACACGGTCAACGTGTAGATCGCCCCGTCTGTGTTCTGTCTGTCGTTGGTCGAACACCCTCGCCCCACTCCTTGATGATGCTCGTTCGAACCCTGGTGAACGACGTTCTCATTTCCGTGGGTCTGATTAGCCGACCAACAGTATTTGTTCAAATCTTCTAAAAGTATGTTGCACGTCTGCTCCTTGCCCTCGTCGGTGGCCCAGTAATCGCAGTCCGACTGGTCCATCGGCGCCTGCTCGTTGGTCTGAACGTTGCAAGCGGTCTGATGCGTCGTTCTCACGTGGTGATGATGGTGGTGATGGCTCAGGGAGCCGGTGATGGTCGAGACCGGTGGCAGCGCCGTTAAAGTGTTGTTGTTCGTCTCTTTGATGAACGGCGAGCCGTGGAGTTCGCGACCGGTCTCGTGCTCCTCGTGACTCTGCTGGAGATACCCGATGCTCCTGCACGTGGTGCGATGGAGGAAGCTCTCCTCGTCGGATACGCCGTCCGTAGAGGCGCAGTGCGGGGGTGGAGATACGACGAAGTCGAAGAAGTCGGTCTTCGGCAGTTCCTCCCCGCCCCCTCCCGGGGCGAATGCCTCCGTTAGATCCATGAAATCGGCCAAGTCTGCCGTCCTCGTGGTTGATTTTCAACTGCCGCCGGTCTCGCGCGCTTCGCTTATGCGTAACGTGTTGGTGGAAGAGGTTCACTTTCAGTGGTGATGAATGGAATGCCTCCTCTCCCACCGCATTGTTCAAATCGGGAATCACCTGCAAAACAAAACGACCATTTTTTATATAAATGTTTCAATAATGAAAATCGCATTGTTCGTCGTGGAAGTTAAACTAGTTTAGAATAAATCTTGAAGAGAAATCTTTAGAATTGATGCATCAAATTTAACTGAAATATTAAGAGTGCAGCGAGATAGGTAGTGGTTAGAAATTTCTCCTTGGAGAGGACAATAATAAATCGCTGGGGTATAGCGATGATGCCATCGAGTGTTTGTCTGCCATTCATTATGGTCTGTGACGTTCTACCGACCCTGCATACAATAATTGTTTCAAGACAACATTTCTATTCACGAATTCCTTTTTAAAAATTCATCTACCAACGTCCGCGTTCCGTTTGTCCGAAAGCAAACACGAAGCTTGTAACAAAGTTGCAAAACGCGAGAGAGGAGATCGAATCCCATAGAGAGGCTTAGGACAATGGCGCATACCGCGACGCCGTGTCCCAGATTTTCCAGCGTTTTCTTAGGCGACGGGCCAGTGGAATAGGATCGGTACCACGCGGGCATTAGGCCGAAGAGCTCTGTGCTCTCTCGCATGCTCGAAGGCGTGGGAACGTAGCTCGCCCGTGTATAAATTCACTATCCAGCGGACACGTACATTATCGAACGCGAGTATCCACCAGCACGTTCTCAAATCGTTAACAGTGACGATACTAATTGATATGGTCGAGAAGTGAATCTGCACGTTATAGACCCCATCGTGCCTCAAGGAATACCTTTTAATTATCTTCTAACGAGTTTGCCAACTTTGAACATCAATTACGTTGCGGATTTGATGGGTTTGTAGAAAAATTATATGTGCAGAAAATATAAAGAATGCAGTGTATTTATGTACACGCATGAAATGGAAAGGAGATCTCAATTCAAGCTTCATGTTTTAAATTAACATCATAAATGTCTAAGTCACGGTCTGGTAATAATGTAATTCTGGAGGGGGCGCGAATACAAAAATTAAGACGGTTCATCGGAGATCGACGCGTTGGAATCTCGAAGAACCATGTCCTCGTGGCAGAGATGGAACAAGGATAAACTAGAAGATAGACAGTCGTGGTGGAGAACGTAAAGATCGGAAAGAGTTTGCACGGACACCGTGTAGTCGTAGTATATTGTATATGGTACAGCGGTACGCGAGGCATAAGGCAGCAGGGGTTGCGCAACTTCTTTTCCGCGAGCTATCCTACCGCAACGCACACCGTACCGAATTAATGCAATGCAACGGTGCAGACTAGAGCCTAGGCAAGCTAAATGCCAGCGACGGTGTGTATCTACAACAATTGATTCGAGCAACGCCGTGCCACCCGGATGTCCGAGGACGCGTTGCGAAATCGAGGCCTGGAATCAAGATAATAGATCATCCGAAGAATGCGCAACCGAGGCTTGCAACTTCTCGCGGCCGTTGTCGTTGCCTGACTATACTCAATTTTAAGTCTGCCGCGTTGCGAACCAAAAATTTAGTTCTATCCGAGTGATCTCGTTCTGGTCAGTTGATCGTTATCGTAAAACTAGGAACGATACTATCGTCGAAATTTTGATTATTCTTTAACAATCGATAACTCGACCTTTCTCTGTCGATCACAGCATTTCTTTTATCTGGACACCCAGTCTTATTAAAAACGAATTTCATTGAACCTCGATCATTAATTCTCCGAACGAATATCTAACGACCGATCTGCCCCTGTCGAAATAGCCACCACTATTTCTTTTTCGTGAGACATGACGTCATTGTTACTTGACAATGTATCATTTTGATTAATGACACTGCTCTAGTTTGCGTAATAAGTTAGATGAATGTCGGTCAGAGATTTGTAAGAAAACGTTCACGTGGAAAGATGAATTTATGGTAATTCCAGGTGTATTAAATCGTTGTTAAATTTGCAACAATATTTATCATCTCCCAGGATCTTTAGTGACACAACTTTTCTTGATTATGTTGTCGACATATTATAAACAAGGTTTCGTTGTATTACCGCGAAGGTTCGCAGGAATCATCGTGAGGCTGTCGATAAATAGAAAATTCTAATGGGACGCGTATTATGTACAAGGTTCTTCAAGGCATTCCTCGACTTCCTATATTATTATTAGCAGTTTCGCGAGATTGCATCACCTAGCAAAAATTGCATCCAGTGAAATGCAATAAATACATCCTCGTTCATCACTCAAACTTTTTTCTTATCCATCGAAGCTACTCATTCCTGGAAACGTGTAATCAATAAGTGTGTTTCGAAAGAATTTCTACATGAATTTTTATAATTATGCCAATTTCATGTATAAATCCTACAAATTTTATTTATATTAACTTCTAACGGATTTGAAATCCTTGAAGATTTCGTTGGAAGAAGCGTAGGAAATATGAAAGAATTCTAAAAAATTCGCAAAGGCCGATTAACTAATCGGCATTTGTTTGAAGATATCTCGGCGTATCCTCGATTATCCCTACGGCTAGACATGAAATGTATTACAAGTTCAATAAAATACTCTTCGCGTTCGGTGATTGATCGCAGGCAAGACAAGCTAACCGCGAAGTGTCTCTGCTTCATTAATTCAAGACTAGACGAGCGTCAGCATAACGATCATCGCGTTGCACGATCAAACTCTCTCGCTTATTATCACTGTGCGCGCTCATTGCGCAACGTTTATTACCCCGGGTGGCATCAATCTTGTTTTATACATTGTAATTAAAATTCCACCGGTGCCCGGTTAGCCAATCGACAAACATTGATTGAGAACCCACTAATAATCGAAATAAGTACTGTTGCATCGATTCCTTTTTGCTAATCCAGACACAAAAAGTTGTATTTCTATTTGTGCATAGCAAATTTCGTCATTCGACAAGATTTGATTATTAGATGATAGATTATTTATTAGATGGATCTGTCGTCTTAATAATTTGAAATATTCTTTTT